CGATCCTCTGCTCTGACCACACATGCCAACAGGCAAGGTTAACTCCAGCTAGGCCTGATTAGCTTTGTTTGGGTCACATGCTCAGTGTGGACACAATCCCTGTGGCCAGGAGTTCACACAATGTTCTGACTGGCCAACATTGGACCACATGCCTGCCTCTGGAGTGTGGGATAGTCAGCTCCACCCAAAGCAGGAGACAAGAAGGGAGCAGGATGAGCAAATGGGGAGTGAGAGATGGGAGTAAATGTTCCCGAGAGAGAGTAAGGTGTTGGGTACAAGGAGCAATCAATGTCTACTGGGGGAAGTAAAACCGCTAACTGTCCAGAAGACCCAGCGTGCCTCCTTCCTCGAGGAAGACCTCCTCGAGGGCTCTGGGTATCATCCTTCCTACATGCACAGATGATTGTGACCTTGACTTTTGTATTTGAAGAAAGGATCGTGACAATATATAATGACTGTGACTTGGGAGTTCTCAGTTATGTGATTGAATTTCCCTTTTACACCATTTGGGGTTTGGTTTTTCTTTTTCTTTTTTTTTTAATTGCTTTTTATTTTAATCACGTATGCTCACTGAGGGAACCCCAGGAAGAGGAGACTGCTGCAGACTGTTCCCCAACTCTGGTGAGGAGCAGTGACCCCTCCTTCCTCTCCAGCGTGTTCAGAGGATCAGTTTGGGAAACAGCACTTAGCAGAGGCGTGAAGGGCACCCCGCTGCTTCCGATCGGCTGGGGGATCCTCAGGGAGGGCAAGCTAGCTGCCACCGCCCCGGAACCCCTTCTCCCAGAGAGACAGCAGCTGAGGCAATGCCCCTCCGCAGGCACGTATTCAGTGGGACTCCACAGCAGGCTCCCCGGGTGGCCCCCTACTTCGCACACACACGGGTTGTCAGCGAGCTGTGTATTCCATTGCCAGCAGGCAGTCAGGTCTGGGGGAGTGAAATCACCTATCCATGAAGTCCCACCCAGGGCTATGACATCAGACAGAGGAGCCCCGGGCAGACAGGGAGCTCACAGGACAGAGCACGCAGGACTTCCCGGCCAGAATGGTGGGGACCGCAGGACAGCCTCTCACATTGAGCGTCCAGTTCCGCACTTTTTCCCCATCCACCGGGGGTGAAGCCCAGTTCTAGTTTCTAAACCCCAATCCATCGAGGACCTGTGCAGTAACATTAGTTTCATTCGAGATTTTGTAAAAAGCAAAAAAGACAAAATGCAAGCCCATTATTTTAAATCCGATTCAAAAAGATAAAAACTACTCTGTCAAACTGCTGTTAACATTTCAAAACGCTTCTTCTGTTCCTGACCTTCCCCCACGTGGACAGGGAACAGGGCGGCCCTGTTCCTGCCACCACCACTCCGGGGTGAGCCCTCTGGCTTTGTTTTAACGTTTTCAGACCACTTCCTGCTTATAATGCGTCATGTCTAGAAATTAAGTAGAATTTGGCTTGACATGCCTGAGCATCCACCGCATGGTCCTAAATTACCATTCCCTTCAACTCTTCCTCCCTCAGTCTTTTACCTGCTCTTTCAATCCATCCAAATACTAATGAGTGCCTGCTGTATGCCAAACCCAGGCCAAGGTCACAGGACAGGCAATGCCCATGGTTGAGTTGTCTTCCCACGCACACCTGCGTCTCTCAGAGATGTGCTTGATTTTGATTAACTCCGCACCTCTTCACTCCCTGCGTCTGAATCCCAGGCGTTTTTGATGTCTGTTGGAATGTCAGCTAGTCCACCGATGGGGACCGCCGTCATTCACCTGGCCTCTGCTGGCCCAGGCATTTGCCTGGCCCTTCACATACGGTGTTCCCAACGTCCCCAGCAACACTACTGTCCTTCCACTGAACAGCGCGGTTCTCTGGAAAGTTCCTGACTCCACATCTTTTTCTTCTAAATCAACTTCTTCTCCTTCTAAAGCCACTTTATGTGTCATTTCTTAAAACCTTTAAGAATGACGTACATTTAGAAAAGAACGTGAATTTGTACGGGTCAGTGTTCAAAAACTCAAATACACCCACATAACCTGCACCCAGATTAAAAAAAGAAAAATAGAACAGATCAGTGCCATGAAGACCCCCTGTGTTCCTTTCCGGTCACTAGCCTTCTTCCTTCCCAAGAGTAGCCACCATCCTGACTTCTAACTGTATGGCTTAGTTTACCCTGTTTCTATTCATCTGAATGGAATCCAAGAGTACTCTTGCTTCATTTGTTTACTCAGCATTGTTTGTGGGACTCACTGTTTTATTCATTCTCATTGCTGTATCATATCGTGTAAATATATCACAGCTCATTTCATCATTGTACTGTTGATGGGCATTTGGCCACTTTCCAGCGCTGCTGCGAACATTCTGGTCCATGGCTTTTGGTGAACCTATGAATGCATTTCTGCAGCACAAGGACTGGGCGTAGGACTACAGGGACATAGGGTCTGTGTATGTCCGGTGTCAGAACACACTCTGAACACCTTTCAAGGCACTTTGCAGGTTCCACAGTATTTTACTCTTAGTTGTGAACTCCTGTCATTTCTCTTGTGGTCTTTAACTGAATAAATACTGTTTGTGCCTGTGTCATTTTAAAATAAGGGGTCTAGGGGCACCTGGGTGGCTCAGTTGGCCAAGCACCCAACTCTTGATTTCTGCTCAGGTCATGAACTCATGTTTATGAGTTCGAGCCCCACACTGGGCTCTGCGTTGAAAGTGCAGAGCCTGCTTGGGATTCTCTCTCCCTCTTTCTCTCTCTGCCCCTCTCCGGCTCATGCTCGCTCTCAAAATAAACAAACAGACATAACATAACATAACATAACATAACATAACATAACATAACATAACATAACATAACAAACATAACGTAACATAACATAACAAGGTCTAATACATAGTATAAAATGGAAGACTGGGGTAAGATAGCAGAAAACAAGTTGGGGGACAAAATGGATAAAGTGAATGCAGTGGCCCGAGTAAATGCCACAAGGGCTTAGGTACTTTTCAGAAAGCTGGACCACAAATGTGGTTGAGGCTCCATCAGCCAGTACAAAGAGGGTAATAAGTTACACGCACTGATGTGCACAGGATACGTGTATCAAATGCTGGGCAATGTAGCTGTTTCTGGTTCTGAGATTTTAAAAATGTCAGCCTGAGTCTTCCTAAAGACGATACTGTTTGACTTTGAAAATGAAGAATCCAACAACTTCATTTTGATAATAACAGTAAGAAGTTCAGTCAGCCTCCCCGCCCCTAATAATCTCCCTTATGGCGGACATGCCAAAGCACAGCTCACTATAAGCAACTGATTGATACACAATGCTCAAAGGTCTGACTAAAGCCAAGAGAAACAACTAGACTCAAAATAAAGCATCAGGGGTCTCTGAGACCCTTTCAGGAGGTCTGCATGGTCATAACCATTTTTATCATACCATTAAAGCTCCTCTGCCTTTTTTACTCTTGTCTTCTTAGGAGTGTGTACTGTGGAGTTTTCCGGAGGCTGCATGTCATGTGATGGAGCAACAGACCGAATGCAGAGGGAAATATTAGAATCTAGCTGTTAAGAGGAATCTATACATTACAGAAATTTGCTGATTATTTTTTGTTTTGGAAAAACAGACTCTTCACTTAAAAATATGTCACATAATTCTCTATGGGTTTGTTATCAATAGTCTTGAGTAAATTAATACATATTTAAAACTTTTGTTTTAATTTCTAATACGGTATCTACAGATATAATCCACCTAAGGAGAAACACTTTGGGGTCCTCAAAAAATTTTAAGAGTGTTAAAGGGTCCTGAGGACAGAAGTTCAGGAACCACTGGTGTGGAGACAGATTTCCCCAAAAGGATGCTCTTGGCCACTAGTCTCGGAAGACAGTCCGTGAAAAATATTTTGTGATCAAACACATTTGGAGAATGGTAAGCCTCTCTTGGAAATCACCAAATTAGAAGCATGTAATCCTACTTTACTTTAACTCTGGGTTTCCTAATCGTACCTGACCAGGATCCCCACGTCGGAAGGCTCTCCTTACCGCCCAGGAGGCACGCGTGGGAACAACTTGGATGAACTCCAAGGTCCCCAGTCCACCCTCAAGAGCAGCGTCTCTTACAACCCGCCTTTTGCTAAGCATGGGCAGCGAAGTCTGATGGGACACCTCGGACAATGCCTAGACGGGTCCTTTTATAACCATCAAGGCAGCTGAGCGGGACAGAGAGCCCCTTTATCTCTGCGAAGAGGTGTACCAAGGGCAGGGTCAAAGCCAGGACAAAGATCTCACTTCAAGAGACAAAATGGAATCTGTTCCATCTGACAAGCAGGCAGTCAAGGTCCCCGAGTCCTCGGAGCTGATGGCACGCACGCTTGCCTCGGTCATAAAGCAATCTCAATTATGCACCCACAGAATGGCTAACTCCAAGTCACACAACTTCCTGGTGCCCACTCCAAGGAAAAGAGTGGCCGAATGTACCCGGACCAGGTCCACTTCTTTTATTGGGTTATTAACCAGAAGTCGATGAAAGGTTAGGGGGTGTCTACCAAAAAATGATGACTCTGGCTTTGGAACTATCAATCTGATTTCTTTTTGACAGTAATTACCTAACTATCTGCTGTCTGTTAAGCAAACTCCCAGCTCACAGTAATAAAATGATGTCATGAGGCAGCTCATCTAAAAAGAACCTACGGTAATGTGCAAGGCACTCTGCTAAATCTACCGGTGAAAAAGATGTGTGTCTTCAAAGGCACGTAATCTAGTAAGGGGCCAGGCAGAGCACCAGAGGAAGCGAGAGGTGTCCTCACGCTCTGCTCTCGGCAGCAGCCGGTGAGGTCTCTGGCAGAACACTGTGAACAACAAGTCATTTGTCTCCACAAATGTGCTATTTGCCTTGAAACCGTTTACCTGCATACACACTGACAGGCACCACATAGCCGGACGCCTCGTCACATACAGTCCGGTCAAATAGCGCTTCTCAGTACAACTTAGTGAGTTGATAAAGGATTTTCAAAAACACTTACACCACTGTGAATCAAAAATGGATCATTTTAATATACACATTCTCACTTCTGTTAATGCAACACTGATTTCTACTCTGCCTGCATTACCATTTAGTTTAACTCCGTATTTATTTATTTTCCAACACGCAGCAACCTTCGGCGAGATGGTTAAGTTGAACTGGTTATTCTTAGGCAGTACGAAGTACCTTGTCCTCAAAGAGTTTTATCAACTGGACCATTTTCAAAGAGCCCTATGAGGCTGCTCGGCACAGTGGTTTTTCATGGAAATTTCCTATTTGGGAGACGGTAAAACAGCCTGGGACCTTCCCAAGTCTACCGGCTGCTTGCATTCACATCACAGTGTGGCTGGGAAAGCAGCAGAGACTGAATAATAAGTAGAACTCCTCCAAACACAGCTGGGTGAGAGAGCTTCATTTTTAGAAAGTAAAGCGAATCATGAAAACCTCCCTAATGGTGTGATTTGCTCCAGGGTTCTTTTGATACTTAAGAAGGGAAATATTAATCCATGTGCATAGTGCTCTTATTTTCAGCTTTACAGACTTTTCTTCTTCAGCCATTGTTCTGTAGCGAGGCCATTTATTGTACTTGCTGCAGAATTGAAAGCAAGAAGATGTCTTTCATAATTGAGGTGCTGATAGCCTTCTCATTTCCTGCCAAATGGATCAGACCACACTTTTAACCCTATAGAAAGAAACATGAATCAAAACGGGATTCACTTTTAAAGTTCCTCCCACTTCCCTCAACCGCAAACAAGTGAAATGACATTAAAATCAAGCCATGTGATTCCCCTGAAGTTTGGGACAGTGCAGGTGAGGGGCCAGAGTCCTCGAGAGCGATGGCTGGGAGGCCACCGCCGCCATGACAGATTTCAAAATGGCTCAGAAATGGCTGCCCAACAGGAAGCTATGCATCTGGCCTAGTTAACAAAAACTGAATGAAAAACAAAAAAAGAACGCTGTCACAGATTACCAGAGTTTTGGTTAAGAAACTGGAAACCTCTCATTCTTACTCAACTTGGATCATCTGGATGTAACTAACTACTCAGCCACAAAGGGAACTTTTGAGCTTCTGTATAAAGCAGAATCCCATATCAATTAAAACAGCTCATAAGTAAACAGCCTTTTCCCGTGAGGCTAGTGTTTAACTAGGTGCCTGGAAATCAGCCTGCAGAACAGCTATTCGTACTTGGTGTTCAATCGCACACTTGTGAGGTTTCTATGCCCACATATCAAATGCAAAAGAAGGAACGTGCAGACTTGCAAAAATCATTCTGGGGTGAAATATTAAAAAGAAGTCTTGGGGTGCACCTATAGAACGGCAACTGCTGTGCAAGCACTAGCACAATCACCACCTAGCCTCTGCGTTCGAACGACCTTGACTGTGGAGCAAACGCACGCACCCCCCACAGCAGTACAAATGAGATTGTTTTGATTTTTAAGTTTACCTGGTGGCTGTACATCTTCTTGAACGATACCAGCTCGATTTATGGCTTGCTCTTTCTCTAAAAAACACAAAAGAAAAACTGCTCTTTAGAAAGTTGAGGGGTGAGGGGGCCTAGGTGGCTCAGTCAGTGAAATGTCTGACTTTTGATTTTGACTCAGGCCATGATTTCATGGTTCATGAGTTTGAGCCCCGAGTCCGGCTCTGTGCTGACAGTGCGGAGACTGCTAGGGATTCTCTGTCTGCCTCTCTCTGCCCCTCCCCTGCTCATACTTGCTCTCTCTCTCAAAAATAAATAAACTTAAAAAAGAAAGAAAGATGTTGTTTGGACCATGGGGGAGTAGAAATCTTTCTATTTATATGGGCCAATGACATATGTGGGACAATTCAGAAACGACATACAGGAGTGGTACTAAATTCAGAGACCCAGTCCTCACAGTTTTTACATTACATAAGTTCAATCCTATGGAGCAGAAAGACTGAATATTTTCAATAAAGGAAAAGAGAGCCATACTTCAAAAGAAAGCTCCCAACTAACGGCTTTTCTTGGTGATCTCAGCATTTTGGAAAGGCAACAAAACAACAAAAAAAAAAAGAACAATTCTGAAAGAGCTAGTGGGTGGGATATTATGAGGGGAAGGCTGCTGAATCGAAGGAACAAGTACAATTAACAAGAAAACGATGTAGTTTCTATGTCTCAAATACGCTCCGCCGAAGGAATAGACCCAGAGCTAAATATGCTATGTTTTTGATAGGAAATAGAGCAGAAAATTAATCTTTGGGTGGGTGGCTTTGGTTTGGATAACTGAAGCTTCCCTAATTGATTGCAGGTGCTGTGCCAATTAGTAAGCGCGTTTCAGCTATGGCGGCTTAGTCCATCTCTTTGGAGATGTCCAACGGGCAGGGGCCAAGAGAAATTGGGCATTTTATGTCTGTGGGCTTCAAGCGCTCTGACACATCTTTCTAAGTGGTTTAGAATAAACCCAAGGTCTGTGAAAACAAAGACTTATTATTTTCAGTATCTTGACAAACAAATGGCAGCTTTTCAGGGGAAAGACTTGCAGTCAAAGGATGTTTACTACTAAATTACAGTAATTAAATGCGGTAATCAGACCTTTGTTGTAATCAGGCTGACAGTGTTTCTTGAAATCCGCATTTGGCTCTTATTTAATATTAGGCTGTTTTCTTTATTCTGGCCTCTGGATTCTCATAAAGTTACAAGAAGCATGAAGGTACAAGAAACAGGGATTTGCCAAATCGAATATCCATTGAACCTGCTTCTCCAGTGATGTGACAGAAAGTCAATCCTAAGTGACCTGATAGTTTTATCAATGCTGAGTTTTGCTTTGGCAAATAAAACACCGGCCAGTAGGGATTATGAGAATCTTGATATCTAATTCTAAGGGAGACAGAGGGAAGAGCTAGCATAAAGAAGACGGTGGCCCGAGGGTTTCCTGGGTCTCTCTGAAAAGTAGTAGGCAGGCGGCAATCAAGACCCTCTGGGCCAAAATACGCCAAAGAGCAGATAATGGAGCCTCTCAAATGTCAGCTGTTCTAAACTGACTACAACACAAGAGGTGATGTCACCTCCTAAGACATTGAATTCCTGTCGGATTGAGCCCTACCATATTGTCAACGTGTAAGGTCTCAAAGCACGATGTGTCTCACATGTGCTCCTGGAAAATGCCAATGGTAAAAGATTACACTGTCACCTGTGCCAGGAACAAAAATAAGATACAACTGTCCACACCTAAGAGGTCCATTTGCCAGTATTATGGAAGAGGTGGATCTTTTCAAACAATGATCAATTGCCAGAAAGCTTTCCAGCCGTAGATTTAAGAAAATCAGACATCCTGGTGTACTGAACACATTCTCCAAGAGGCAGGTACCGCGAAGCCGAAGACCCTGGCAGGCTGCCAAGCACCAAAGAAACCTGACTTTCTGTAACAAGGACAGAATGTCTAATTGTGTCCTAATCTCTTACAAGGCAGTGGAGGACGTAGTGAAGAGAAAGGAATCCCTGTCTTCACACTTTCTTGCTAATTGCTAATGAGGTTGGAGAGAGGCGAAGGATTTATTTAAAATAGACCATAATCTCTTTATAATCCTTGTCCTTATGCAACCACCTTGTTTTTTTGGTTTTTTGGCTTGGACAGGCAATTGAAACCGATTTGCTGAACTAGTTCCTACCGAGTGATAACTGGTATTAGCATCCTACGTAACATCCCCTGGTTTTCTTTAATCCATTAATGTTTTATAAATGCTCGAAAGCCAAAGCAGTCTTATATAAATTCAGGATATGACACAAAGACACTTTAAAAAATGTGAATGCGGAATATGCTAAGAGGAAAACAAACTGGTCCCTCGGGGTTTAGAAGTACATGTTGCTGAGGCTGATGGTAAGTTTCTCTTTTGCTATCATTAAGAGAAACGGCAAGTGTCTATAAACCTCAGGAAAGGGGCGATGCAGAAGTCAGAGTTTAAACTATGTGAACAAACCAGGATAAGCTAATTACGGACTTTTCAGTTGAGAGCATGTTTTTATCAGGAGCGAAATGATTAAGACACAAGTATGTGATACTGGGCGTGGAGCGAGGCAATGCCAGTTAGAAAAGTCCTCACTCTGGAGTCTCAGCAAGCCCGACTCTGCCCCCTGGTGCTAAGGCAGTGATCTGATTTGTAGTTTTAATTGAGGATCATTATCTCTAGTCAAAGGGCCAAGCATTATTATTAAAACTGGTAATGCATGTGGACAGGCTGATTATCCTGTTGTAGTAACAGAATCCACCTAATAATTTTTAAGTCTTTGGGAAAAATGTATCTTTGTATTAAATGTCCATACAGTGAAACAACTTCGCTGTGTGACTTGTTACTGTAACATGCACAACTAAGCAACAAAGGGGGAGTGTTCCGGCAAACTGGCAAAGGGTATCTGAGGGGTGGGTGGACCAGCAGCTAGAACCTGAAAAGCAGGTGCAGAAGGGGACCTGAGAGCCCTGCCTAGTGAGACAAGAGCCTTAGGACACCTCATCTCCTCTGGGCAACAGACAGTTAAAACTAAAAGCAACTTGAACCCGAAGTAATTGGACAAATGGCAACATTCGAATATGGACTGTACATTAGATAATAGCAGTGTCAATATTAAATTTCCTGGCCTGGATAACTGCATTGAGGTTTGTAAGAAAATGCCCTTATTCTTAGGAAACACATGCTGAAGTGTTTGGAGATGAAAGCTCACAATGTCCTGAACTTACTCCCAATGGGTTCAGCAAAATAACAGTAATAATTATATGTAGATATAATTGTGTGTGTGTGTGTGTGTGTGTGTGTGTGTGTATGCATGCACGTATGTGTAGATCTGTAATATATGGGGGGGGACAAATGCGGCAAAATGTTAACTGGTAAATCTAAGTGATGAATATACGGGAATTTATGATACTATTCTTAGGTCTTTCCTGTTGGTTGGATTTTTTTAATAACTAAAATATGTAACTGCAAAGCAAGTTTTTAGGAAGTCCTTACACTTCTTTATGTCTGTGCCATTACGATTACTTCCAAGTAGTTTTAAAATAGCAAATAAGGGGCACCTGGGTGGCTCAGTCAGTTAAGCGGCCGACTTCAGCTTAACTCACAGTTAGTGGGTTCGAGCCCCGCGTCGGGCTCTGAGCTGACAGCTCAGAGCCTGGAGCCTGCTTCAGATTCTGTGTCTCCCTCTCTCTCTGACCCTCCCCTGCTCACGCACTCTTTCTCTCTCTCTCTCTCTCTCTCTCTCAGAAATAAATAAAATGTTTAAAAATTTTTTAAAAGTAAAAAATTAAATAAAATAGCAAATAAAAACTTTAAAAATTACTTTGTCAGGGCTCGCATTCTGCAGCTGTTGCCTCGACTCGCACTCCCCCGGCCCGCGGGGTAGTCCAGGCCCAGATGTGCTCGGGTTGCCCACTGAACTAGCAGTGGAGGGGACCAGAGGGCCCCGGTGGGGGCACCATGAGTTCGAGCCCCACACTGGGCTCTCCGCTGTCAGCCCACAGCCTGCTTTGGAGCCTCTGTCTCCTCTCTCTCTGTCCTTCCCCGGCTCGTGCACATGCTGTCTCTTACTCTCTCTCTCTCTCTCAAAAACTAGATAAACTTAAAAAAAAAATGGCCATGGAGGCAAGTGTGAACCAGTGGCTGAAGGGGACTAAATGGCCATTGGAGGCACTGACTGCTTCCAACACTACAGACACTTTTATTTCCTCACCAGCGTCTGGCTGAATCCAGGGAGCTTTGTAACACCGGTGAGAAAGTTAAGACCTTAGTCTGTCTGTACTGCCTCCGCCTCTACGGTGAGGTAAATGGAAAGGGATTCCAGCACCTGGCATGTAATGGGGAAAATGCCCTTCCGAGTAAGAATTATTTCTGGATCGAGGGATTACTTACAACCCCATTCCTCATCTACCCAACATACTTGCGGTTGGGGCAGAAGGTGCAGCAACAAAAGAACCCGACGGTGTGGTAGGGGGAGTGAGGTCTCCTCACTGCAATCCCACGCAACCTCTCCCCCTGCTCGTAAGCACTCTTTGCTATCTTAAAGGCACACGAAACAAGGCATCATTAAGCGGCAGCCATGGCAGCCGGTCTGTCCACCCAGCAATTAACGTGCTAAGTGACCTGGGACAAGTCACCTAAACAAGGGGCTGAATGAGCACAGGGTTTCTGGCAAAACTCTATGATTTGATGCTTCTGCACATCGAATTAAAGTTAAAAACGAACAAGATCACAGAAAATGATCCTATTCGGTCTTATTTCACAGGGCAGTATAAAGTGCATGTTACCTTTAAAAGGCCACATTCAGGGTCGTGGTCTAGCTCGAGGATGCAAAGCCAGATTAGGCTCTGAGCTACAGCAGCTGCACTCTGCCCGAAACGAGGGCTCTTCCAATACACCACGCTGAGCCAGCAGGCTGAAGGCTACAGAGCATCATCTGGGATTCCCTCCAGAAGTACGACAGAACCGGCCCCACGCTTCTGCTCCGAGATCGCTGACCGCCAATGCCAATGCCGACTCCCCAGCGCCCATTTC